TTTGCAGGTGCAATCCTCCCACACCCGTAACAGTCCGCCACGTCTCTCCTCATTCCCCACGCCCCGTACCTCGCTCACCCCCCTGGACAGCCGCACGGTTACTAGCACCAACCGACGTTCTCCGTCGTAGATGATCTCCAAAATACGACATAGGGTAGCCACTCCCTCGACCTCGCACTCACAAGTGTCGTTGACGTATACCTTCCTCCCGCACACTCTTGCTCGTATGCCGTCAAAGCCGAAGAATGGGATTGACCTCGCGAGGGTGCCGTTGTGGTTTGAGTTCATGACGTTTCCCTCTCGCCGTGTAGGCACGCAGTTGACGTGGTCGCTCGTCAGCGAATTTGCGGTTGCCTCTTCTCCGCGCAATAGCTGCCCTCCCGGGTATGCGTTCGACAGCGCAGTCTCAGACGGAATCTGCATGACACGGTCGAGCAGCAGATTGACCGGGAGGTCGTACACGACAGACGACGTCGTTCCGTCGTCTGTCGACGGAACGTCTCGCTCCAGTAGCTCTAGCAGGGGCAAGTACGGCCGCATGCGATCATAGAAGTGCTCGGGGTCGACGTCTGCGAGCCCACGTACGTCAAACGGTTCGCCCTCGTACTGCATCAAGAGTACTTCTAGAAGTCCTCTCAATGCCCTTTGCGAGATCCGATGTACATGCTGCCAGACGAAAATTAGTTGTTGCTCCTTCGTACGAAAGGGGTAGAAATCAGAACCTTGGGCTTTTGTGTTCTCTCTCAATTTCTCGGCGCCGCCCTCCACCGTCTTACTCGATGCATAAGACGGCGTCATTGTGTGAAGCTTATTTAACCTGGGGGCAGATGACGCGCCACCATTATGCCCGGGAGGCTCGAATACCTCAGGTGCCCCATCGGTCCCTCTGTTGTCCACATTACCCTGGAAATCGTTGTATCGTTCATCGTCTAACCCGATGTCACCCTCCTCGCCCCCGCTTTCCATGTCTCCCCCGTCGTCGACAGTACCCTCGTCGTCCGTACCCGTGCCTTCCCTGCTCACCCCGAGATTCTCTTCGATCCTCTCCAATAGGCCGCGGAGTCCACCGCCGGTGCCTGTGTCCTCATCTTTTTTTCCATCAGCGCTGCGTGAGTCGTCACCCGCACCACCGAAATCGTCCACTGCCCCGACCTCGGACGTGCTGTCGGGCACGTCATCTCCGTGCGATCCTGTCCGTTTCACAGCACCAAGAAGACGTTGATTGCGAACTCGTGAGGATTTGTCGAGAAACGCCTGGCATCCGGGGAATGCGCACAAGGTTCTATACGCAAGGCGTTCGTCCGACGTGTATACTCGCATCTTGTGTTTTGCCTACTCTAGCTCCACCACCTCCTTCGCAATGCCTCACGCGCAAAGCACACCGAGCAGCACAAGACGACGACACACGTGTTGTTATGGTGTGGTGCTTTATGCTCGCCACCAGGCGGTAGCACAGACATGTGACTGGTTAGCTGGGGGGGCGCATATGGTGCCGTGGTCGATCGGTACGTTGTGTACATACGACGGTCTCCAGCGCTCGCCCCCCCCTTTGTTCCAGCCGTGCTTGGGCGCGCCACGCCTCTCTCTCTCTCTCTCTCTCTCTCTCTCTCTCTCTCTCTCTCTCTCTCTCGTG